GTACCAGTTCCGTTTTGATATGGGTGCAGTTACTTCTAAGATATGTTATTTATTTACTCAGCTTTCAGTTAAACCTATGTTTTTATCTTATATTGGTCAATTACTTGTTCCGTATGGTAATAGCTCGTCGTTGCAATTTAGTAAAGTTAAGCTTGAGTGTTCAGGCTGAAGAGGTTTAGGAATTTAGCCCTTTTATGCTGACCGGTGAATCAATTTCGCGTATGCGTTACTATATATGGCTTCAGATTTTCAGCTTAAGTGTTTATACGCAAGTCAAACTAAGTTCCGTTAAAACTTGGGAAAAAAAAAATCCTGCGGAAGAAAGAATATTGAGAGATTTTCTTGTGCATGATTGGGTAGCTGTCTATCATAGAATTCATAGGTCTCAGTACACAAAAGCAAAGGTCATATATATTAGGATGAACAAATCATCCCTACATAACAAAACGTAACAAACCTTACACGTTGGCATAGGATAAGACAAAACTGTAACAAATTCTAACAATAAAAGATATTTATTTGGTAATACCTCTTTCAAGTGGGACTGTGAACATCGAATAGTCCTATCTTAAAGATACGGTGTGTGAAAGCTTTGGGATGGAGAGCCTTAATAAACATATCATCCAGTTGTGCAAAAGAAGGAATTGGTAGCAAATGAAGAAGACCACTTTGAATTTTCTCACGAATGACGTGACAAAATTTTTATGTGTTTTATTTGCTCATGAAAGGTAGGATTGAGTCAGGCCACTTTTAATTTTCTAACATGACAATTTTTATGTGCTTTGTTTGCTCATAAAAAATAGGATTGTGAGTCAGGTATATGGCGGACTGCTTCTCACAAAAAACTGAAGTAGGGGCAACACTAGAAACTTTTAAATCAGTGAGTAAATGATGAATCCATTAAAACTCACAACTCAGAGCTGCAAAAGCCTTATATTCAGCTGAAGAGAAAGACCAATATAATGTGGTTTTGATACAGACCCAAACACTATTGGGGTCAGTGAGCCCTTGATCCAAGAAGAGAATGGTAAGAATAGATGAGACAGTATATGAGAGGAAAAAGACTATGAAGGGTGACGTGGCACACTAACAGGAATATGCTGGTTAGAAGAGAGAGAAAGGAGTATTGTTTGTTTAAATAATCAAGGAGGTAAGTTTTGGGAGGGTTATCTGGATGCTTATTTGGAGAGGGAACCATTTCGGTTTCTATTAGGAGCTTTGCTCTGGGCAGGGGGATCGTTAGGGCACTTGGAATTCAGCTTTGATTTCAAGTTGCAGGAACAGCTAAATGGGCATAACAAAATTCAAGGCACTTATTCTAGACGTAGCTCTTTGACAAAGATGGTGGACAATTTTATTTTACGACTTCTATTTTCATCCCATTAATTCATTCTGCAGATTTATATGATATTAAGTATGCAAAACAGGGCTTCTCTATAATCATGAACCTGAAATTGTGACATGTCTTTCTTTCCAAATTCTACATGATCTAAATGTTCCCTACAACTGACATAAAAATCTTGTCAATGAAACTGTATAGTTAAATTATTCCGTCACTTTCCTTGACCTCACCTATTCAATACTCTCTTCATTGCAAAATAATAGTCTTTTTTTAGCCTTTTGTTTTTCTTCCAGAATTATATTTTAGTTCTTTTCAGTAATTTTCCCAACAATATCCCTAAATATAATTAAGAGTAATCAATATTGAAAAAAGACACAAGTGTAGTTGAAAATTTGAGAGTAATTATTTTATTGAATTTGTATAGCTAAGTATTTCAAAATCAGCCTGTAAATCTTAAAAGACTATTTATTTTGAAATACAGAGTATAATTTTCCTAATTGGATGTCACAATTTTATAAAATGAATATATAGCACATTTTTTTTTTAAATAAGAACTTTGACACGGCAGAAATAGAGTTGAATAGATTATCACAGTAAAAACCACGTTGTACTATGAGATTATGGAAAAGCTAAAACTAATTTCTGACCTTCTCAGACAGATAAGTGTATACCTAATAGGCTACGAGGCCAATAAATGGAGATGCAGATGCCAGACTTAGGAAGCTTCATAATCCACAAAATTCTCACAAGCAATTTTTGTGGATTGTTGGCACCTTGAATTCAAATCCACCGTATTGGTAGCAACTTCTCAAACCTAAAAGCATAAACCGTAAGTCACAAAAATAAAATGCAGAAGGCAACATGCAGTGTGGTATTTCACTGGGAAATATTTTATAACTACGTGTACACCAGCAAAATGTGTATACTAGAGATGTAACTATAGCTAAACGTTTAGAGAATATATATGAGATAGTCAACCTGTCACTTTTAAACGTGAGTTAAATGAAAATCATTACTTATAAAAAAGGAAATAAGAAAAATGAGAGAGAACATAAAATTTATAAGTATTTGAAAGAAAGAAAGGTTATTTGAACCAAAATATATCACCTACTTAAGCCGAAATGCTAAAATGCCAAAAGAATTCAAATGAAACTCATGAAAGAACTTCATACTCAGCATCAAATAAGTCAACATAGTCAGTCATCAACAGTACACAATAATTTGGAAGTTATCAAGGGTTGAGATTTATTCATGCAGTTAGTTGATTAATTAGGAAAATATCATTACTATAAATAAAAGCATCTTGGAATCTTTCAATATCCTTTTCATATCAATTAGTATCATGAGTTATTTCTTTGGAACACCCCTTTAGTTCTTGAATTATATAATGTTTGGCCTCATCAATTTGATGTGATTTGCATCTCTTCTCAGAATTATGATACTTTGGATGGATTATAACTTGAGCTTCAGATTCAAAAGATGATAATAGATTTGCAAAAGAAAAAAAAATACAATGCAGCAAAAAAATGCATACCCTAAAGGAATATGAATAAATATATAAATAAAACTGAAAAAAAATATTTGTTGGCTCATAACATCTAAACATCCACTAATACAATATAAAAGAAATCCAGTTGTTAGATGATAGTGAGATAGCAAATGCTAGTGTTAGCCCACTCATCCATATTGCAAGAGTTCTGAATGGGTGTTCTTTCCATTAAGATAGCAAATCCAGTTGTCTTTTTGGCTACCTCCTTGGCTTGCTCACTGAGGGATGCTTGGGGATGTCTGTGCTAGACAGTCCCACTATATCGCCAAGATATAGAGCCAGCATGATTACACTAAGAGCAATGAAACATAATTTGACAAAGTACTTCGAAAATTAAATTAATTCAGATGAAAGAATAATGTTCTATAATTATTATCCTTTTTCTTTATTATTTGAAATGGATCAATGTCCAATAAATTATCATGTTATCTCCAATAAAACATCAGTTGTGCTAAATTCACCCCAACTGTAATTTTCTATTCTTGAAAACAATCAGTAAGTAGATGGAAAAGCTTGTGATGGAGGTTGTGGTTGGTTGAGAGGAGGTTCTGGCTTGAGAAGGTCTGTATCATGGACAGTAGAGAATGGAGGCAAGGACCATTCAGCAGAAATTGGTCATAAAGGTAGGGCAAAGTGCACTATACTGCACTGCACTATAAAAATTTATAGTTAACTATAAAACAATTTAAGAAAACTGAACTGAACTAAATAATAGTTCAGAGTAACTGAACTGAACTATTTTTTAGTTAAGTTATAGTACAGTGCAGTTTAGTAAACTATTTTTCAGTTTACTATAGTATAGTTCAGTTTGATGAAAAGCAAATCCAGTTACAAATGCATCTTGCTTTTAAAAATCCTTAGTTCAAAGGTGGTGCAGAAGCAACTAAAAACTGTCCAAAAAAAGTACAACAATGATATAAACAGTGATTAAATAAAATATTTATACAAGCTTCTTTCAAACTAGTAAGTTATGCTATGATCTCATACATACCCAGATGTATAATAAACACATTTTCATAGCCTGAAGAGAAAAGAAAAACAGAAGTTCAGGATGATTTCTCCTTCAACATCAGTATGAACAACATTATCAGCATACAATAATATTAAAATTCCACTCATTTGAAAATTATTAATGTTTCAACATTAAAATATTCTACACTTAATTTCCCGAAAACATTCTGTAAAGCATTATGTAAATACTGCGTAACATGTACTCATTATGATGACATCAGGAATATAATCCAAAGTATGAAGCTACTTTACTATATATATACTATATATACCAACTCAGCATAATTGCTTATTCAAAAGTAAGTGTTCTGGTATCTTCTAAAAGAATATCACATCTCATAGTTACAAAAACCTGTAGCAGTTTTTCAAAGAAAACAAACTAATTTGATCTTAAAGTTTAAAGGAACTAGAATAATGCAAATGCATAAAAAGAAAGCACCCATACAAAAAGTAAATGGTTTGATTGGATGGAATTGCAGTTGCTTAAGTTAAGCACCTGTCTTTTCAACACCTCACAACATTCTCAGGCAAAAAGTTCCATAAATGTTTGACATTATTCATCAACATAGGTAAATGTATTCATATTTATATTCATCAATCGGACAAGTACTGTTATTCATTATTACACTCTAAATCATTATGGTACCAAAAGTGAAAGGATGCTACGTAGATAATTAACCTGGAACATAATTAATCACTCTCAGAACACTTAACATAATTAACCTAACGAGATAAACATTTTGACTTACTAGGATCACGTTTGGTCAAAGAAGCAATGCCTCAAAAATTGTATGCAATATCGGAATTTCCATTTGTCTGATAGTAGCTATTGAAAGCATAGGAAGCATGAGAAACAAGTGTGTCTGGTTCAAAACATGGTCCACCTTGCTTAGATATGGATTTGCAGCTGAGTAAAATCTTACAATTGGATCAAACTTCAAAGACTGCTTTCAAATTTTGCATATACTGCTTAGGATTCTCAACTTCATCACACCTCCATCTCTCATAAAACATGTAGAACATCACTACTTCATGGCTAGGACCAAGAACTTTCCCGCTGGACATGCAATCTCCAATATCTCTTGGAGACACATTCTTTCAGTTGGCTTGAGAGAATTCACCGATGGCTTGCAGAATGCCAGCTGCACATCTTTCAGTTGCATGAATTATTTGGGGATTGCTCCTTGCATTTTCTGTATACCAATGAAGCAATTCTTCCTGTGCATTGTTGACCTTCAAATTCAGGAAATGAAAGATCATTTTTCACAGTACAATCACATTTGCAGATAGTACAAACAGTAGAATCACCACAAACAAGAGTGCCGCGTATTCCAAGTTCATCAACATTTAGTTTTTCAAGTAGAAAAGCAAGTGTCCTTCCTTTTCCAGCAGCTTGGGCTAATACATCCAAAGCAATACCATTGCTATAAATTATTTTCACATCTAACTGGAAAAGAGAAAAAAATAATATAAATATATAATGAAATTGTAGCATGTCAATATCAGATCAAGACAAATCCAATCAACTAGGTATCTATGTATACTTATCAGTTGTTTGTTTTTACAGATGAGAAAGGATGGCAGAGGGTCTTACCCGCCTATCAAAAAAAAAGTTGCAGGCAAAGCTTTCAAATGAAGTAGACAAATTTCTGCCATTAAGTTTATTATGAACTATAATCTCACCCCACGTTTCTCCAGACGTTTTGAGAGAGCTTTGACAACATTTGGGGCCTTCCCTTTTTCCAAATAAAAGCTAACCTTGTGACGCCGTTGTTCTGTTTCTGACTGCAGTTACTACAGAAATTTCAAAGAAAACAAGTTGATAAAAGAATATCAATGCTTCTATATAATAGCTAATACCAAAATTCATTTAAGGCCATTCTCCTGAGCATGATTCAACATATAAAAATTCTGATAAGTATCTTATCTTTTATAATTAAAAGATTACAAGGTAGTTACATACTTGCATAGTTAGTTCAGGAAACTTGGCTATTTCCTCCAAAACCACGTCTCTGTCCCACTTATGATCCAGATACTGTTTCCAATAAAAAATAAATTGATGGCCATAATTATACAACTTTTGATCAGTTATAGAAACTTTTGAACATAATAGCTGTTTGCATGAGTTATGACTGTAAAAAGATCGTCATCCTTCCATTTTTAATTTGCATGAACGCCATAAATATAACAGAGAGATAAAATTACTCCGAATCCTAGACTGTATGGGATGCTAATCAACAAATCTGAACACTAGAAGCTATTGGGTGCTCATAAGTTATGTGTCGTTGTTTTGGCAACATCCGAACAGCTCTACCCAATAATTTCTCAAAGTCTTAAATAGGCTGTTGTGGGCTAAGAGAACATTTTATATCTTATAGATCACTTTCATCTCAAAGTTCTTACTTATCTGTCATCAACCTCTCTCTCTTTATCAATATAGGTTAGAAAATCTACCCTTATCCAAAAACAACAAATCAAATCAAATCTCCTAAACAATTAAAACTCCCACAAAATCCAAAAGAAAATCAATTGTTACCCCACTGGTTCATCCCAGATGAATACAATGTAATGAGGCAGGGAAAAAATTTAGATCGCAAATATACCTAAACCACATTACAGTTAACTATATTAGAAATAAAATAAGTTCAGTATATTTAAACTGAACTATTAAACAGTTAACTAGGTTTCAGTAAAAATAGTTTAAGTTTTTTTTAAGTACAAAAGAGTATAGATAAACTATAGTAAACTGTGCCCATCCCTAGGTATTAGTGTACGAGAGGCCAGAGTTCAGTACTCACATGCAACACCATTAGCAGAGGCCAGCAGCTATGGAGATTTTGGAGCGTTAACTCAAACTAGGTAAACATTTAAAAAATAAACAAAAGGAGAAACTGTTATACGTCAAGCAAATCAAAGATGTAAAATGATGGAGAAACATAAGCAGTAAGAAAAAAGGCCAGGTAATATGCTCTACCGTATGATTAATAGATTTGGATAATAAATGAGCCTATTCGATCTCAGTATTTATCAAATCTACAGATTATGCTCATCTTTACATTATCAGTTGTAAAAGGCAAACAAATGGTACATGCTTCGTAATATCTCTTGCCTCTTATTGACTCGTTGTCCCGCAATTGATACATATGTAGCAGACAGAAAGAAAACAAAATACAGATAACTTACTGAAAGTTGTCATCCAAAATCAAGTTCGAAATTGTTCAGCAATTTTTAAAAGACTGTAGGTTTCAGCATCTGGTCTAGCTCCCCCAAGAATCATTCTTTTCAAAAGATTTGGATCATAAATCTTAGCTTTTACATAAGCCTTAATCAAGGCATTATATACAAAAGTATATCTACAATACTTTGTTTTATGAAATTCTTCAAACAATCTCTCAACATTTCCCACATCACCTTTTTCAGCAAAAACCTCAATAATTGAAAGAGTGGTCTCCAACCACGGGGTTGAATTTCTAACCCTCTTGCTAATTGTCAAACGCAAACCCAAGTCTAAGGTCTTTAAAGCTTGCTCTGCCATACCAGATCTTAAGCAGCCCAGAGCAAGTTGACGATAAGTAATGGCATTTGGTTTACACCCACTCGCCTTCATAATTTTGTACAGTCTAGCCGCTTTGTCGACAAATCCATGGTTGCAGTATACAGAGATCATTGAATTGAATTGCTCTACAGATTTCAATCCTTTGGTTGATTTCATTTCTAACCAAATTTCTTCGGCTCTGTTTAGCTGTCCAATCCTACCAAATGCTTCAATGGCTAGCATGTAACTTTTAGATCTAACAGAGGGGAGTTCTTGAATGATGGTCCAAATTCTTTCCAGCTCCTTTTGGCTCCCTAGATACCCATACAAAATAAGTAGGACATCCAATGTTGACCAGTTATTCCCTGTAATAGACTTCTCCACAGCTTCCACATATGCTTCAGTTGCAGTATATAATCTGGCCACTGCATGAGCAATAGCCAAAATACAGTAAGATATTTCATTTGGTTCAACCTGTGCTTCTTTCATTCGACAGAAGACCTTCAACAAATTCTCGAGATTATGTTCACTGGCCTCTATTTTCATCAAAATATTGTAGGTGGACACATGTGGCGGAACTTTATCAGCCTTCATTTGGATGAGCAACTTGGGTATCATCTTCTTGCGCCCTGGCGAGGAATGAAGAATTATGAGACGGTTGAAAACCAAGTGCGAAATGGGAAATCTCAATTCCCTCATTCTCTTCATGTACTCAAGTGAAAGCCTTATGACACCCTTATCCAAGCATGCAATCACTAGATTGTTGTAGAGCAACTCATTGTGAAACTCAACCGGAATTCGGGAGAACAACTTCTCACCATGTGAAATCCCATGAAGCTTAATTGTAAACTCAACAAGATAAGAGTAATCCAGTTCCCTAGGTCTGTAGGGTCTTTCCCTGATTACCCATTCCATCACCTATCGATCAACACAAAAAGGTAAAACCTTCAATATATCTACTCTATCAAGTACCGATAAGCAATACTTTTTTCCATTCTACAACATTTAAAAAAGAAAAATCCAACATTGCTTAAACTTAAATAGTCACATTCACTATTGAGAGACTAGACTATTACTACATATATAACTGACCTGAAGAGCACGTATGTTCTTTTTGAGCTTCCTGAGTCGGTTAATGGAGTGAAAGACGTCACCGCCGTGAACGGGGAAGCCATCTCTCATCCAACTGCGGAAAGCAGAGCCGACGGATTCTCCTTTGGGGAGTCTCTCGATTCTTCGAGACAGGGAATCCTGGTTTTGTGTCGCTTGAGCACAGAACAATTTCAAGGTAAGAGTGTCACAAGGTGTTCGACGTATTAACTGAACCAACCACTCTCGTGCGAAGAAGCCTGTCACACTTCGCATGCTTTTGCTTATCATCGTAACCCCGACACAAGGCTGCACCAGTTTGGTGCTACAACTCGTTCAAACTTCTAAGCTACTTCAAATTTACAAAGCACGAGGCATGGGCATAATATATGCCAAAAAAACAACAAAAGAACTCTAAATGCTATTTTAAAAATTACTTATACAGATATATATTAGGTTTTTCAATTAATCAGGATTTTTAATTTCATTTTTTAATTAAGAATTAGGGATTATTTTTAGTTATTTAATAATTGTATAATATGTTTTTTAATGTTGTAGTTCGAAATTGAAATTAGGAATAATTTAAAATAGGTCTCGGAATTAATCAAATTTGATTCAAAGTAGTATAAGTGTATCCTATTTAATAAAAATAGAAGTAAAAATGCTTCTCTGGTAATCAAGTCAGATATTTAAAGTACTTTTTAAATTAAACTTGTATTTGTATGAGTATGGATTTATTTTCTTTAACTATTTTGCTTACTTATTTGATTATAATATTTGAATTAATATGTTATTTATAATTATTTTCATGGAAAGTAAATTTTTATGAGTTTAAAGTCTAGTCTGCGAGACCAAGTTCTCACAAATTTACGTTGAGTTTGATACTGATACCATCTTTATAAAAGTGATACTCTAATGAATAATATGATAACAGAGTTGACTCGTGACAATATTATAATTTCGGATTGAATTGAATCAAAGGCTATTTCTTATTAGCAAACTATAGACCAAGTATAAACTAAGCACAACATTTTAAGTGCAGGAAACGCAGTGTTGGTCTCTAGAAATTGAATTTTCATCAAGTGCTGTCTGCACTAACCCAGTACAAGGACATGAAATCTCCAAGGTGTAAGCAAAAACACGTCACTCATATGTTATTTACAAGATAATCAATCACGCCAATGACCAAAATCCACGAGGAACTTTACATGACATATACCAGACAACCTTATTTATAAGTTAATATACATATGAATCTTATTCGCATGAAAAAATCGACATGGAGCTCAAATGCACAGGAATCTATATTCCACGGCATATTATTGCTAGTGTGCTGTAGCAATTAAAGGCTTGCGGCTGTCCATTTTGTCATCTTCATCTTCACCTTCTACAATCAATACAATCCAAGTTGCTTAACTTCTGGATCAGCTACCAGAATTTCCTGAGCAGAACCATGATCATGCAGACTTCATGAGAAGATAAATTCATCAAACAAATCATCCATTATCATCTCTTCTAGTTCAAGTGCTACATACTCCTCTTCCTCTTGAAGGATCATCCACCCTCTTCCTTTTGCCAAATCACGACCCACAACATCATCTAATGTCTGATCTAGCTCAGGTCTCAAGGTCAGGTATGAATTGACACTAGTCCACACTTCATTCAGAAGATAGTGCCCTTTAGGCATTGGATGGAGGCGGGGGTTGAAGGAGAATGGTCTTGGGAAGTAAGTTGGTGACCTTCCATAAATTTCCAGCAGCACCTCGTTCACTAAGTTAAAAATGAGTTGGTGATCATAATGTTTGGTTGTCTCTTCTTCAGAGGTTTCTATTTCATGCCGCAAACTCGCTTCCAAATCTTTGAACAAGGAGGGCTTTAGTGGCTGGTCTATTGTGTATCTCATCTGAGTGTGCTCATTTCCCAAGAATCCCGAAAATTCAAGAACATTTTTTAAATATTTGAAATTGGAAGGGTAATCTGTATCTTCAGCTGTTATTCCACTTGCATTTCTGTTGTATGAAGAGTCTGGCCATGCACTTCCTTTATCTGATAAATCACCTTCCAATTCCTCCAATGTAGAGACTTGGGTATACAATTCTGTGCCTGAAATGATAATGACCAAACCAGTCAGTAATTAGTCAATTGCCTCTGTTGTAGTTCATATCACAAATATTAAGAGGGGGGAAAAGTGACTGCAATATTTCATCCAATATTTTTGTTTTACTTAGAATAATAAAGATTTTCATGATATCATGACATCTCAAAGAAATACTTAGTCTCATGTATATCNCACTCTCAGAACACTTAACATAATTAACCTAACGAGATAAACATTTTGACTTACTAGGATCACGTTTGGTCAAAGAAGCAATGCCTCAAAAATTGTATGCAATATCGGAATTTCCATTTGTCTGATAGTAGCTATTGAAAGCATAGGAAGCATGAGAAACAAGTGTGTCTGGTTCAAAACATGGTCCACCTTGCTTAGATATGGATTTGCAGCTGAGTAAAATCTTACAATTGGATCAAACTTCAAAGACTGCTTTCAAATTTTGCATATACTGCTTAGGATTCTCAACTTCATCACACCTCCATCTCTCATAAAACATGTAGAACATCACTACTTCATGGCTAGGACCAAGAACTTTCCCGCTGGACATGCAATCTCCAATATCTCTTGGAGACACATTCTTTCAGTTGGCTTGAGAGAATTCACCGATGGCTTGCAGAATGCCAGCTGCACATCTTTCAGTTGCATGAATTATTTGGGGATTGCTCCTTGCATTTTCTGTATACCAATGAAGCAATTCTTCCTGTGCATTGTTGACCTTCAAATTCAGGAAATGAAAGATCATTTTTCACAGTACAATCACATTTGCAGATAGTACAAACAGTAGAATCACCACAAACAAGAGTGCCGCGTATTCCAAGTTCATCAACATTTAGTTTTTCAAGTAGAAAAGCAAGTGTCCTTCCTTTTCCAGCAGCTTGGGCTAATACATCCAAAGCAATACCATTGCTATAAATTATTTTCACATCTAACTGGAAAAGAGAAAAAAATAATATAAATATATAATGAAATTGTAGCATGTCAATATCAGATCAAGACAAATCCAATCAACTAGGTATCTATGTATACTTATCAGTTGTTTGTTTTTACAGATGAGAAAGGATGGCAGAGGGTCTTACCCGCCTATCAAAAAAAAAGTTGCAGGCAAAGCTTTCAAATGAAGTAGACAAATTTCTGCCATTAAGTTTATTATGAACTATAATCTCACCCCACGTTTCTCCAGACGTTTTGAGAGAGCTTTGACAACATTTGGGGCCTTCCCTTTTTCCAAATAAAAGCTAACCTTGTGACGCCGTTGTTCTGTTTCTGACTGCAGTTACTACAGAAATTTCAAAGAAAACAAGTTGATAAAAGAATATCAATGCTTCTATATAATAGCTAATACCAAAATTCATTTAAGGCCATTCTCCTGAGCATGATTCAACATATAAAAATTCTGATAAGTATCTTATCTTTTATAATTAAAAGATTACAAGGTAGTTACATACTTGCATAGTTAGTTCAGGAAACTTGGCTATTTCCTCCAAAACCACGTCTCTGTCCCACTTATGATCCAGATACTGTTTCCAATAAAAAATAAATTGATGGCCATAATTATACAACTTTTGATCAGTTATAGAAACTTTTGAACATAATAGCTGTTTGCATGAGTTATGACTGTAAAAAGATCGTCATCCTTCCATTTTTAATTTGCATGAACGCCATAAATATAACAGAGAGATAAAATTACTCCGAATCCTAGACTGTATGGGATGCTAATCAACAAATCTGAACACTAGAAGCTATTGGGTGCTCATAAGTTATGTGTCGTTGTTTTGGCAACATCCGAACAGCTCTACCCAATAATTTCTCAAAGTCTTAAATAGGCTGTTGTGGGCTAAGAGAACATTTTATATCTTATAGATCACTTTCATCTCAAAGTTCTTACTTATCTGTCATCAACCTCTCTCTCTTTATCAATATAGGTTAGAAAATCTACCCTTATCCAAAAACAACAAATCAAATCAAATCTCCTAAACAATTAAAACTCCCACAAAATCCAAAAGAAAATCAATTGTTACCCCACTGGTTCATCCCAGATGAATACAATGTAATGAGGCAGGGAAAAAATTTAGATCGCAAATATACCTAAACCACATTACAGTTAACTATATTAGAAATAAAATAAGTTCAGTATATTTAAACTGAACTATTAAACAGTTAACTAGGTTTCAGTAAAAATAGTTTAAGTTTTTTTTAAGTACAAAAGAGTATAGATAAACTATAGTAAACTGTGCCCATCCCTAGGTATTAGTGTACGAGAGGCCAGAGTTCAGTACTCACATGCAACACCATTAGCAGAGGCCAGCAGCTATGGAGATTTTGGAGCGTTAACTCAAACTAGGTAAACATTTAAAAAATAAACAAAAGGAGAAACTGTTATACGTCAAGCAAATCAAAGATGTAAAATGATGGAGAAACATAAGCAGTAAGAAAAAAGGCCAGGTAATATGCTCTACCGTATGATTAATAGATTTGGATAATAAATGAGCCTATTCGATCTCAGTATTTATCAAATCTACAGATTATGCTCATCTTTACATTATCAGTTGTAAAAGGCAAACAAATGGTACATGCTTCGTAATATCTCTTGCCTCTTATTGACTCGTTGTCCCGCAATTGATACATATGTAGCAGACAGAAAGAAAACAAAATACAGATAACTTACTGAAAGTTGTCATCCAAAATCAAGTTCGAAATTGTTCAGCAATTTTTAAAAGACTGTAGGTTTCAGCATCTGGTCTAGCTCCCCCAAGAATCATTCTTTTCAAAAGATTTGGATCATAAATCTTAGCTTTTACATAAGCCTTAATCAAGGCATTATATACAAAAGTATATCTACAATACTTTGTTTTATGAAATTCTTCAAACAATCTCTCAACATTTCCCACATCACCTTTTTCAGCAAAAACCTCAATAATTGAAAGAGTGGTCTCCAACCACGGGGTTGAATTTCTAACCCTCTTGCTAATTGTCAAACGCAAACCCAAGTCTAAGGTCTTTAAAGCTTGCTCTGCCATACCAGATCTTAAGCAGCCCAGAGCAAGTTGACGATAAGTAATGGCATTTGGTTTACACCCACTCGCCTTCATAATTTTGTACAGTCTAGCCGCTTTGTCGACAAATCCATGGTTGCAGTATACAGAGATCATTGAATTGAATTGCTCTACAGATTTCAATCCTTTGGTTGATTTCATTTCTAACCAAATTTCTTCGGCTCTGTTTAGCTGTCCAATCCTACCAAATGCTTCAATGGCTAGCATGTAACTTTTAGATCTAACAGAGGGGAGTTCTTGAATGATGGTCCAAATTCTTTCCAGCTCCTTTTGGCTCCCTAGATACCCATACAAAATAAGTAGGACATCCAATGTTGACCAGTTATTCCCTGTAATAGACTTCTCCACAGCTTCCACATATGCTTCAGTTGCAGTATATAATCTGGCCACTGCATGAGCAATAGCCAAAATACAGTAAGATATTTCATTTGGTTCAACCTGTGCTTCTTTCATTCGACAGAAGACCTTCAACAAATTCTCGAGATTATGTTCACTGGCCTCTATTTTCATCAAAATATTGTAGGTGGACACATGTGGCGGAACTTTATCAGCCTTCATTTGGATGAGCAACTTGGGTATCATCTTCTTGCGCCCTGGCGAGGAATGAAGAATTATGAGACGGTTGAAAACCAAGTGCGAAATGGGAAATCTCAATTCCCTCATTCTCTTCATGTACTCAAGTGAAAGCCTTATGACACCCTTATCCAAGCATGCAATCACTAGATTGTTGTAGAGCAACTCATTGTGAAACTCAACCGGAATTCGGGAGAACAACTTCTCACCATGTGAAATCCCATGAAGCTTAATTGTAAACTCAACAAGATAAGAGTAATCCAGTTCCCTAGGTCTGTAGGGTCTTTCCCTGATTACCCATTCCATCACCTATCGATCAACACAAAAAGGTAAAACCTTCAATATATCTACTCTATCAAGTACCGATAAGCAATACTTTTTTCCATTCTACAACATTTAAAAAAGAAAAATCCAACATTGCTTAAACTTAAATAGTCACATTCACTATTGAGAGACTAGACTATTACTACATATATAACTGACCTGAAGAGCACGTATGTTCTTTTTGAGCTTCCTGAGTCGGTTAATGGAGTGAAAGACGTCACCGCCGTGAACGGGGAAGCCATCTCTCATCCAACTGCGGAAAGCAGAGCCGACGGATTCTCCTTTGGGGAGTCTCTCGATTCTTCGAGACAGGGAATCCTGGTTTTGTGTCGCTTGAGCACAGAACAATTTCAAGGTAAGAGTGTCACAAGGTGTTCGACGTATTAACTGAACCAACCACTCTCGTGCGAAGAAGCCTGTCACACTTCGCATGCTTTTGCTTATCATCGTAACCCCGACACAAGGCTGCACCAGTTTGGTGCTACAACTCGTTCAAACTTCTAAGCTACTTCAAATTTACAAAGCACGAGGCATGGGCATAATATATGCCAAAAAAACAACAAAAGAACTCTAAATGCTATTTTAAAAATTACTTATACAGATATATATTAGGTTTTTCAATTAATCAGGATTTTTAATTTCATTTTTTAATTAAGAATTAGGGATTATTTTTAGTTATTTAATAATTGTATAATATGTTTTTTAATGTTGTAGTTCGAAATTGAAATTAGGAATAATTTAAAATAGGTCTCGGAATTAATCAAATTTGATTCAAAGTAGTATAAGTGTATCCTATTTAATAAAAATAGAAGTAAAAATGCTTCTCTGGTAATCAAGTCAGATATTTAAAGTACTTTTTAAATTAAACTTGTATTTGTATGAGTATGGATTTATTTTCTTTAACTATTTTGCTTACTTATTTGATTATAATATTTGAATTAATATGTTATTTATAATTATTTTCATGGAAAGTAAATTTTTATGAGTTTAAAGTCTAGTCTGCGAGACCAAGTTCTCACAAATTTACGTTGAGTTTGATACTGATACCATCTTTATAAAAGTGATACTCTAATGAATAATATGATAACAGAGTTGACTCGTGACAATATTATAATTTCGGATTGAATTGAATCAAAGGCTATTTCTTATTAGCAAACTATAGACCAAGTATAAACTAAGCACAACATTTTAAGTGCAGGAAACGCAGTGTTGGTCTCTAGAAATTGAATTTTCATCAAGTGCTGTCTGCACTAACCCAGTACAAGGACATGAAATCTCCAAGGTGTAAGCAAAAACACGTCACTCATATGTTATTTACAAGATAATCAATCACGCCAATGACCAAAATCCACGAGGAACTTTACATGACATATACCAGACAACCTTATTTATAAGTTAATATACATATGAATCTTATTCGCATGAAAAAATCGACATGGAGCTCAAATGCACAGGAATCTATATTCCACGGCATATTATTGCTAGTGTGCTGTAGCAATTAAAGGCTTGCGGCTGTCCATTTTGTCATCTTCATCTTCACCTTCTACAATCAATACAATCCAAGTTGCTTAACTTCTGGATCAGCTACCAGAATTTCCTGAGCAGAACCATGATCATGCAGACTTCATGAGAAGATAAATTCATCAAACAAATCATCCATTATCATCTCTTCTAGTTCAAGTGCTACATACTCCTCTTCCTCTTGAAGGATCATCCACCCTCTTCCTTTTGCCAAATCACGACCCACAACATCATCTAATGTCTGATCTAGCTCAGGTCTCAAGGTCAGGTATGAATTGACACTAGTCCACACTTCATTCAGAAGATAGTGCCCTTTAGGCATTGGATGGAGGCGGGGGTTGAAGGAGAATGGTCTTGGGAAGTAAGTTGGTGACCTTCCATAAATTTCCAGCAGCACCTCGTTCACTAAGTTAAAAATGAGTTGGTGATCATAATGTTTGGTTGTCTCTTCTTCAGAGGTTTCTATTTCATGCCGCAAACTCGCTTCCAAATCTTTGAACAAGGAGGGCTTTAGTGGCTGGTCTATTGTGTATCTCATCTGAGTGTGCTCATTTCCCAAGAATCCCGAAAATTCAAGAACATTTTTTAAATATTTGAAATTGGAAGGGTAATCTGTATCTTCAGCTGTTATTCCACTTGCATTTCTGTTGTATGAAGAGTCTGGCCATGCACTTCCTTTATCTGATAAATCACCTTCCAATTCCTCCAATGTAGAGACTTGGGTATACAATTCTGTGCCTGAAATGATAATGACCAAACCAGTCAGTAATTAGTCAATTGCCTCTGTTGTAGTTCATATCACAAATATTAAGAGGGGGGAAAAGTGACTGCAATATTTCATCCAATATTTTTGTTTTACTTAGAATAATAAAGATTTTCATGATATCATGACATCTCAAAGAAATACTTAGTCTCATGTATATCAACACAAGTTTGGTACCTTCTTTGTGGCTGGTTATATTGTCCTCGCAGGCAGTTTCAAGAGTTGGCATCACCTCCTTGCTAAGATAGGCAGTCATATTACTCATTTCCTCTATTTCTTGTGTAAAACTTCCATCCCCCACTGCTGCCTCATCCATGTCCTCCTTTTGGTCACAGGTAACTTCATCAATTTTCTCCAAAATCTTATCTGTTTCCACAATTTCAACCTCTTTAAAATTATCTAGTGATTTGTCCATCTTCAAAGGAAGACTCACTGATTTTCTATGAGCACGATCATATGTTTCCTCGGTATTCCCTACATCATTTGTATCAAAAAGTACCTCTTGTACTAGGAAGCCTAAAGTCTCGAGATTAGGCATAGACAAATTGCTTCTTGAAAAGTTAGGAACATGTGCACTCTTGTGGATCCTATCCTCGTGTGTCAATTTTAAGCTTTTAGACTTTGAGCTTTGCCACTTAGCTTCTTTGCTGAAGCTTTTCTCGAACAACTGAGTATATCTATCCAATGATTCATTGAGAGAAGATGTTCTCCGCATGAGCCGGGCATCATGTTTGTTGGAATCATAATCAGAAGCTTTAGTTTCATTTGAGCTTTTGCTCCTTTTGTATTCTTGAACCACGCCATCTTCTAAACTTTGTGAGATCTCTTCCTCATTATTGATGATGCTATATTCAGGCGAAGCTATGTGTTGGATAGCTTCAGCAGAAGTTTGCTTACCACTTTTTCTGAATTCCACAAGAGCATGTTTTATCTTCTGCTTTATAGCTTTGAATTGATGAAGAACCAACTGATTCCACCCTCTGTGATTTGATTCATGAGAAGACCTTGAGGAAATAATTGCTTTTTGTTTCATGGCACTATCAACACCAAGATCACTCACCAAAGTTCGTGGCTTCTCATAAGAAATATCTTTCACAAAACTGGAAACTGACATGTTTGATTCCTGGGCAACAGCAAACAATTTTTCTCCCTTTGGATAAATTTCGTTTTGCTTGTGTTTTAACGACCTAGAGCTAATGTTCCTCATCTGTGAAGTTGAGGCTAAAGGAAATGACCCACATTTTGTCAATCTTGCATTGGTTTGGGAAGGTTGCTGGAGTTTTTTCCCACTGAAGTCCATGTCTCGCAGAAATTTGAGTAATAAATCCTTCTCCACCCTAAGAAACTCAAAAACATCTGAATGTTTCTCAAATTTATAGGAAATGTCTCCATTATGCTTGTTTGTTTCCGTAGGCTTATGGTTAAGGTAAGCTTCTGTTGTCTTGCCATTTTTTTCCAGATGAAGTGCATACTCCTTACTGGCCTGGTTTTTCCTCGAGTAGTCCATGGTTTCACTGCCTTTGGAGTTTTCTTTGTTAAACTCTTTCCCAGTTCGTGTTTCCTTTTGATTGTATTTGGGAGAACTTTTGCCTGCAGCATGCAATTTTTCGCTTTCTTGTCTGACCTGATATTTATACAAGACATGATTACAATATTATATACAAATATATCCATGTTAAAAAGGAGACCAATCTATAATTGTTTGTGGCCACCTCCTTAAAATAAGAGAATACAAAGTTTTCAACTTACCAGGAGGGGCTCCGATTCTGTAACTCCATCGTGTTGGTCATCAAGTTGGTTATACAAAATGCTTTTTCTCTTATCTGCAGTAAAGTTAAAGAGCTTGTTAAGTATGTAAAGTCATTGACAGAAGCAAAAATGTGGTCACGTTGATTCAAGAGAGAAAAATGTCAGGTTATCTTAAAAGTGAGGATTAAACAAAATTATTTTTTAGAAGAATTAATTGAAAAAGTTAATAATTACTGAGGGAGTAATTTGTAGCATACCCTTATGTTGTATCATGTACGGGTTTTGATGAAGGCAAATATACAAGCACAGTGGGTTCCATGTTATATATTAAGCCAAACGCAATGTTCCATTTAGAAATAGAAAAAAAAGCAAAATTTAAGCAATGATGAGTGAGAGAACCAAGATTTGCTGTCAAATTGCTTACATGTGGCATGTCTTCTCCTTTTGTGGGGAAACACCTTTTTTACGCGCCAACGATGGTAATCAAGAATTTTAAGCATGCCCCACATGCATCCTGGATTATTGTCCTGAATTTGAATAGCGGTCTGGTCGGAAGAAATCAGGTCCTTTCCCATTACTGCTTATCAGGGTAGTCTTGTTCTCTAGTTTTTGAATCCACTCTCTCCCACCAGGCCCTGTTTCGCGGAACCTTCATTAAAAATATAAAGAAAACATCTTTACATCACAGACACAGAGCATAACTGAACACGAATCTCAATCTCAAATTCTGATAAGTTTTTCGATTCTTTTCTACTTTCCTAAATAACCAAGCACACCAGAATAGCTTCTCTAACCTTGTTCTTCAATCTTCCCCTCAATATCAACAACAAATAGCACCCGGAACTTCCCAAACCTCTGTTGCAGCAATATAACAAAGAAACGGAGATTAAGAAACTGAAATTCCCCTTCACATCTAAATTAACTTTTAAGCAGAAAAGATTATACTTTCATCGTACAAATTCATTTATCAAACATTTGCAGCTATTTGCTACTTGCTGATAAATTGTAATTATCTCCAAACAAAGCAAAAAAAAAAAAAACAATAAATAAAACAATAACATATCGGACTGCAACCTGGAAGTTCGCTAAATTCAATCAATTCAAACAAAACCTAAACCACACCATACTTTTCATAACAACTGAAACTTGTAACAGAAACATGGGAAACATGGGAAACATGCATCCAATCAATATACAAAGAAGAAAAAAACAGAGATAGAACTTGTAACGTGAAAAACAAAATTAATAAAAACGAAAATCTCTTTCCAAGATTGAACGTTCAGTGAGACTCTAACCTCTAACAGGTGAAGAAAAGGAGAGTTGGCAGAATTAGAGAATAAGGACGGCGCAAAAAGGTGTGAAGCAGTTTGATCAGAATAAGGTGGCAGAAGCATAAAAGAGGAAACAACGACAACTAAAGTACAAGTCAACTTTGTATGAATAGGTTATTATTATTATTATGGTGGGTGGCTGCTGAAAAACTTAGGAAAAAGCGAAGTAGAAGGAGCAGAACAAAGAAAGGTTGTTAAGAAATAGAATGGAAATGATGTTTGGAGAGGAACTGAATGCGCGCAAAACTGGTCTTCTCTTATGCTTTCTCTCTCTGACTATGACCAAACAACAAAGTCTGCTATGCTTATTCTTAATAAGGTGTAAAATATCGTACACTGCATATTCCCACACCAAATTATTTTCACATTCTCATTTATTTTCTTTGATCTTCATTAAATAAATTAAATACACCTTTCAACAGTGGTTTTAAGTGTGCAAACATTATTCCTCACATCAAGAATTACAAAATTAATTTTTTAATTATTTTTAATCTATTATCTTTCACCCAAAATTGAAATTTATTAATAATCCAAAATTTGACATAAAATATTCTATACTATGATATAATAATTTTTTTAAGTGTAAAACCACGTCTTGTATTACTATTTAATTCGTTCTAATTCAAATATAAATTTGAAAATTATTTAACACCTACAAAAATTTAATTTTATAAAATAAAAAATTATATTTATTCATTTTAAAATTTAAAAACTACAAGTATATTTAAACTTTTGCCTATGCTTTTAGGTCCTAGCTTGTCTTCTTCACAAGATAAATAAATCACAATTATAATAAGAACTATAAATAAGTCTTGTGTATTACAGAGCAACGTATTATTGACTGCGCAAGTCAAAATAGATTATGTGTAAAAGAAACGTCAAAATAGACTTAATTTGTTAGTTTTTTAATCAATTTCTGTTAATTATGAAGTTAAGAAAATTGATTATTGATATTAACAATATTGTGATTTTTAAGAAATTCTCTCTAACACACGTTTAATTTGTATTGATAAGTTTTAATCTAACAATAGAATTGTTAAATATTCAAATGAAAGGTTATATGTTTAATAAATTTGTATTCCATTTATTATGTTTACTACGTAATTTTATTAAAGGTTATTATATGCTAAATTCAAATATTCAACAAGTGAAATAAACATATTATTTATATGAAAATTTAACAATATTACAAATTAAATTAATATTTTAGTCAATGTTTTTAATATAGATTATTGTTTAAAATCTTATTCAATTTAAGTTTAACTTTATGAAATAGTAATTAAAATAATCATGTAAATATATTAATTAAAACTAAAATTAATTAATTTAAAACAATGTTCAAAGATATAATGAATTAGGATACTTATTATTATTATTATTATTATTGTCAACATTATTTTTGATAAAAACATATGAAAATACAGAATATATTAATAATTTACGCAATATTTCCTACCATTTGTGTCACCTTTGCCTCTCTCATCAATGGTAACAGAATAATAGCCTGATAAGATACAGGAGACAACAATATAACTATTTTATTACTTTATTAATTTTATAATCATCTAATTAATGATATATATGGTTTCATAAAAGTCACATTTAATAAATAAACATATATAACTAGTATCCTACTATATTCTTTTATATTTATTTCATTTTTAAAAAATACAAAAAAATTTAATTACACTTTTACAAGTAATAAATATATAAGTAAAATATGAGATTGTTCCATATCCTTTTATGGAGTTTCAAATTAAAAGTTATACAGTAATCACTTGTTACTATATATTTAAACATTTATTAATACTACTGAATTAATTATATATTTTATAAATATATTTACACATAACATTCAAAGATAATAATTAACAAATAAATTACTGCTCATGTTCATAATTGATATATTAGACTGTATTACATTTCAATCTTTTTATTTAACATTTTCTCTAATATTATTTTTAATTAATAACATATGGTTTTCAAATGTATATGTGCGTGATAAATTTTATATTATTTATTTATTTAGATTGTTGTAATATAATTTTTATGATATATAGATTCAGAGGAAAAGTAGTAATTTTAATTTTTTTTCTCTTTATTACATTCAATTTAAAGATGTTATAATTACTAAATATAATATTCGACTCCTATTCATGTTTATTTATTTAATAAATGCCATAATTAATATTTCGTGATAAAAGTCAGACTGCTGATACATCTAAGTATACTTTACATTAATAGTCTTTAATATAATTGATATTTGTGTTAAAATCTTTTTTTTTCTTCTTATCCTCCTATCTCTATGTTTATTTTTCTTCAAAATTTAGTCAATTTAAATTACATTTTTTTTAATTTTTTTCAAATATACTGTTGAATTAAAAACAATATCTAAAACAATTTCTTTTATTAAAATATAAAATAAATTTTAATTATTAAAAAAAATATTAGTAAACTATAAAATATTTTTTCTAAAAATAAATAATTTTTATTGTGTAAATAAATTTTTATTATAAATAATTATTTAAATTTAAAAGAGTAATTACTAAAAAGGTAAAATTAAAAAATAATTTTTTATTATAAATAATTATTTAAATCTGAAAAAGTAGTTCTTAAAAGGTAAACCTAGAAAAGAATTATATACAATAAAAGATGAATCCTTTTATTAATGGTATAGAGATACACACATTTAGGGTTAGAAATCATAGATTGAATAAATATAATTATAAAATTTAAAGATGATTATCTAAATATTTATATACCTATTTTGAACTGTATTTTGCTTGAAAAAGCTATGCATACATATACAGATAGATATAGGAAGACTAGGCTTAATTTAAAACATAATAAGGGAAGAAGATAACTCATATGAAGAGTGTTTAAGGAGAGTTTACTTGTTCAAATGAAGAAACTTAACAATGGAGAATAAGCATTTAAAAAATGGCTATATTTTATATCTGATGTGCATCTGATAACAACACGACGTTGCTTTAGTATCTGTCTTGTTAAACCAACTTTATCACCAAACAGTCAAGAATTTCTGACTTGTTCAACCAAACTACAAAAAAATTGACGCCAGATACTCTACAATATAAGTCATTCATTCGTTTGAGTAAAAAAGAGACAATCAAAACGATGCAGATATAAGTCAGAAAACATGAATAACCAGACTCATTAATATAATCACTCCAGCAAACTGAGTCTTTTACAAGTTCGTCGTAGATGAAGCTTCACTCCAAAATATTAAAATAATATATTTATAGATTTTTCTTATATATTATTTGATTTTATTATTTTTAAAACTTAAATTAATATTAAATTTTTTACTAAAATTAAATATATTTTTGTTCCTTAAAAAATTAAAAATAATCTCTATCCAAAACTCACTTAATTTACTTTTTAACTTTAAAAATTTAAAATTTAATTTTTCTTAAACTTAATTTTATTAGATTTATTTGATGTTTTAAGAGCATTTTATAATAATATTTAAGTTTTATCATTATACACATTTGTTTTAATATTATTTGAAAATACGTGTGAAACACCAAATAAATTTAATAAATTTTAACTAAAATAAATAAATTCAAAGATAAAAAACTAAATTATTCCTAAATTAAAAAAAAATATTTACTCAAAACTAAATAACTAAAAATATATTTAATCTTTTTTTAATTTTTAGCTAGATGTAAAATTTTGATTTAGAGTTAAAAGAAAAACAACATACACGTAGAAGAGACAGGTTCAGATACAAAAGTAAAGAATTCTAAGTATTAACGTGTGCAACATAATTATGTGAGTGTTCTAGATTGAAAAGAAGCCGCAGCAGAGGATTCCAGACCTTATAACCGAATTAGAGATATTATAGTGAGTATTGGTGGTTGAAATTTGACATGTTTGTTTTGCAAAGATTGGTGGGGAGAGTCAACTTTCAAAACTATAGATTGCCCCGTGTAGACCAAGACATCATCTGACTACTTCAAACTTCAAACATTTTCTGCTTTGAAATCAACTTTGAATGTCGTTACACGTAAATTGGTATTCCTGCACTTAAAAGAAAAGGTTACAGAAATTGAAAGACTCAAAAGATGGATTGGATTATCTTATTGTCTGTTCCTCAAGACTCAAGATGTTACTCCTCTTGATAGCCCTGCTATAAAAAACATTTCATAAATCTTTTAGAAGGCTAAACAATAGGAAAATGTAAAATAAGATTAATTGTATGATCTAAAGATGAAGATAATTACGTATAGTTTAATTAAATATTTTTATGAAAAAAAAAAGACACTGTGACTTTTGATGTGTCAGGAATCATAAGGTGTGATAATATGATAAGGATGAGATGGCTTTATATTAGGGTGATGATAAATGAACACCAAACTTCTAGCTCCACAAAATAATGTTTTTGTTTAAAAATATTAAATATTTGGAGATGAATCAAGTAAGAAAATTAAAACGCTGATATTTTTTTGTATCAAGTGTTAAATACGTACAGAAAGATTGAAAGCTGTATGATTAAAATTTTCCTTTATATTAATATCATTGTGGCGAATACATCTTAGAAAACATGAAAATTTGAAAGTTGAATTCTATAAATTTAACTAAATAATGTTTTACATAAAAAAATCATTTAGTTTTTTAATTAAATTTTAAATACTTTTAATCAACCTTTTATTAATATTTTTTTATTACTGATCAAAATAATTTTTATATTTATCTAAATACTATATTGTTTCATCTTTATATTTTCAATTTATAAAATAAATCATTCTATTTTTTTAACTTTTTCATGATTAATATTGTTAAAATGGGTCATTCAATCTGATTTCGTCTTACTCACTTTAAATTAGTCACTTAATAAACTAACTCAATATAACAGTGAACTCAAAAAATTTAAACCTAATTCAATCCATCATAGATTATAGTAGGTTAAACAGGTTGGTTCATTGAATCACTTAATTATAATTATTTTTTCTTCAATATAAAGAAAAATAACAACAATGTTTTTTAATTGAAATATAAATAAAGTTCAATCTAAATAAAATCTAAAATGTTGTTAAACTTTATATACAATTCAAAAAAAAAAAATACAATACAATACAATATAAAATCATGTTAAAGGTGAAATACAACTCAAAAACACAAAATCAAACCAGTATCTAACCTTAAATCATTATTGCTATTTATTCATATATAATATTAGAGTCATGAATAAATCCACAACATAAGATAAAAGTTTATGATTTTATTTTTTTAATATAATTTAAAATTTATAGGTGGGTTGGTGAGTCATCTCGACTCATTACAAATTTAATTTGGGTGAGTCAGATTCTTAATAAATGAATTTAATTTTGATTCCTGTCGAAATTTATAATTTTTTAAACTTAATGTAAAAAGAGAGATATTTATTTTTATTTGTAAAAATGAGTTATTAACTCCATAAAATAGGTTTTCATTATATTCTCTTTAAATTTAATTATAAGTATAAAAAAGATAATTTTAAATTATAAGTAAAAATGTTATTTTAATTTTTTTAGTTATTTAAAAATTCTAATTTTAATGTACTAAAAATTTAAAGTGAAGTATTATATTAATTAAAAATGAACATTATAGATAATATATGACTAAAATGACCCATATAAAGCTTTAGAATTTTAGATTAAAGATAATATTTGTTATTTTTCCTCAAAAACCCTAACCTAATGACTCTTTTTTTTTTTATATCAAATTCAATAAGAATACTTTGGCAAAAAGAAAGGAAAAGACAAATTACATTAAATGTGATTATAGTGAGTAAATGTACTAACTTCCTTTAATTTAAAAAGTTTATTAATTTTTATTATATTTGAGTTTGGAGAGTGTATATTTTAACCCTTTAAATGTGATTTATTGACATTTCTAATTCACCCTGCCAATCTAACCAGTTAAGGTCGAATTGGTGAATTGAATTGATCCTTTTAAAATGTTTTTAATAAACTATTATTTTAATGTGCGGTTCACTATTATGATTTTTTATGTTATGTACTATATTTATTTAACTCGTGTTTATTAATTTTTAGAAAGTATTCGCAGTAGGATAACGCTTGTATAGTTGTGATACTGTAAATTTATTTTTCAAAAATAATATTTTGACATCATATAAAATAAAAAATATTCACTTTACAACCATTTTAGTAATATAATAATATATATAAAAATATAAGAAACCCTTGATTAAATGTTGATTTATGAGATAGTTGTATTTTATTAATGAGATATGAACATATAGTCTCATTGTATTTTATTCTACTGATATATTGGAACAACAACTTACTCTAATTGCATAAATTAAGGAAATGTTTATTTCATTCAAACAGACAAATCAGCTGTATAATTTTTGTGTCATGCAGTATTTCTCACAGCCCCTTTAGTGCATGCTCCCTTTCCATGATTCCAAGTCCTTCTCTAAACTTTTCAAAAAGTGTTTTCTCCGATGCCTCCTTGAAAACACCATCTGGCTGTTCCTTAGCAGGAATCTTCTTCAGTTCAATTTCATTCTTTAACATTCTTTCTGTAACAAAAAGGTAATGCACTCTATGTGTTTGATAGGCCTGCCGAATACTAGATTTGATGACAGTTTAATAGCTCTTTCATTCATCACAAAATGAATTCTATTTTATAATATTTTCCTATAATGCACTACACTGGATTTGATGACAGTTTAATAGCACTTTCATTTTCCACAAAAAAGTTTAACTTCATAATATCTGTGATTAGAAACTGTTCTGCGTGAGATGGAAGGTGTACTAAACAGAAAATGTTAAGAATTCAAAGTGATTTAAAATTCACCTTGGATAAAAATGATTAAAGTGAATAACATCAGTAAAAATGTCCACATTTGTATCCTATTTATTCTAGTTTTTAAACTAAGTAATTCATATTTTCACTTCTTTCTCTTTAGTACAGATATACATAAAAAGTGATAATCAGTGTGAATTGGTCCTACTCTATGATGGTTGAGAAATTTGGTTGAGCCACATAGCCCTGTGATGACGGTGTTGTTTTCTCTTGATATGCATAATACTATAGTCTGGGGGTGACGACCTCAAAGGATAAGATCAAGAAGCTATAAATCAATCATCTCAATATTCAATGTTCAAGCTTAAACAAGGTTGCACCGCACATACGCTGACTTCTCAAAATCCCTACAAGTTTTCAAAATATTCAACTTTAGAATATAATAAATAAATTCTCTTAAAATAGTCTCTGCCAGTTTCAATTATCTGCATAAAAAACTCAACTTTCCTGTTCATGCCTCAGCTTGTTATCTAACTCAAGAAGATTTGAAGGAACTGATTCAGTTTAGATATGTTATGTCACTACTGTTGTTAACCAAAAAATGGGCACACGCACACCTTTGTTCCGTGATTTTAAAAATCAAGCTTCTTTCTTCCTCAAGGAAAAATTCAAGACTGCTAGGTTAGCTCTCACTGATGTTACTCCAGCAGAACTGTAAGCTTCTCTTTTCATGATTCAACTATAAGATTTGACATTTTATGTGTTTCACAGCCAAAGAAACCATCTGTAATACATAGCTTTTGTGGTCCTATACTATTTGTAGCATGACAGAAGAAGTTACCAAAGGAAATCCATGGGCCCCAGATTCTCCAACACTCAGATCAATTTCAAGGGCTGCTTTTGAGCTTGATGATTATTGGAGGATTGTAGAGATTCTGCACAAAAGGTTTTTCTGCCTGCTTTTTCTTCTTCAAGTTATTGGTATTGATGCTTGCCATCTGATAAAAAAAATGAATGAATTGAATAATTCTAAAACAGACTCCTTAAATTTGAGAAGAAGAATTGGAGGGCATCTTACAATTCTCTGATTGTGGTGGAGCATCTGTTGATTCATGGACCAGAAAGTGTTGCAGAGGAATTTCAGAGTGACAAAGATGTAATTAATCAGATGAAAGATTTCCACTTTACTGATGCGAGTGGGTATGTTCTTGTTTAATTAGATTTCCATGATAATGCATTTAGATATGACCAAAACAATGGTGATATTTGATTTTCAATCTTATTTAATATTGCTATTTCAAAAATAAATTTATCTTTAAACTTAAATGTTATTCTCAATAAAAATAACTTGGAATTAATTTAGAAAAAACATTGAAAATAATAATAATAAATTGATTTAACTACTACTTTTATAGTTCTAAATATAATCGAGTCCGAACAAGAATTTTAATTAGACTATAGCCATGAATGATCCTTGTACAACATTTTTCAACTTATTTGTGTTCTAGATTTTGAAGAAATCAAATATTACATTTTAAATTGGAATCATTTTTAATTGGTTGAGTGAAAGTGTAAGAACATTATTATAGACAATGATTAATGAGGGCTTGGTGAGAATGTGCATGCAGGTTCAATTGGGGTGTAACTGTTGGAAAAAAATCAGACCGGATTTTGAAACTCATGGAAGAAGGAACTCTCCTTAAGGAAGAAAGAAACCGTGCTCGGAAGTTGTCCAGAGGAATTCAAGGTTTTGGAAGTTTCAGTCAAAGGTCAACTCAAGCACAAGGAGTTCTGCATGAAAAATCATTGCCAGACACATTTGACAGATCTAACTCTGACTTCAACAACAATCACAGCCAGGAAAACCAGTCATTTGGCTCAAACCATTTTCTGGACACAGCAGCAGTTAAATCTCGTACTCCTAGTCATGAGGGAGGAGTTTTCAAGTCTCAAGATGATTGTGTAGAGCCAGAGAGCTACTTGGATGATCATGGAAACGCTCAAATGCATCAGAAATCTGATACAAGCTCTAAAGAAATGATGACAACTAGCAAGGAGGAATTCCATCTATGGAACTTGAAAGGGGAATCCAATCCACTTTTAGATGGTAACCAAGAGAATGATTCCAGACTTGGTATATTTACAGCCGAAGATGATCACCCCTTTAACTCCAAAGAAATGCATTCAACTTCTTCCCTTCTTCATTCTGGATGAAGTTAAATATTAGAATGAAGGTAACAAGGTATATTACACTTCATGTGTAGAAAATTATTCCAATCATGGTCTTATACTACATGTATTTGTGTATAAGGATTACCTTTGTTTCCTCCTACAGTTTTCCACCAGAAGAAAAGGCAAAATGTTTGTAGATTTGGAACTAGAAGAAGGCATATTGGAATGATGAACGAGTATAAATAAAGCAGAGACCTGTTTGCTGCAGATTCTGGTCTAGAGCTGTCACATACGCGCGACAAAACATATCCTATCTCTTTAGGTTTTACCTGGCCTAGCTAGCCATGGCTTATTTTAATGGCAGCTTATTCATCACTGTGAGCCATAGATTTATATGTTACAAACATAAAGATCCAAACAATTTTCTCATATTTCTGGTACGTGTTACCAGATTAGAAGCAAGCAAGTCTAAGGGTAGGTGACATGATTTTTATAACGGGTGTGTAGTGAGGGCACAACCACGAAACAACTAACTTTAAATTTAGAAAGTGTTTGAAAAATCTTTCCTTGTACAGTGTTTGAAATAAATTATGTATAGTTCAGAAAGAAATTTAGAAAAAATGTATGGAATAGTTTTCATAAATTAATTTATGTAAGAATAAATTTCAATTCTTTTCTCTTCTGTAAATAGTTATAGAAAGACTCTTATCCATAATTTCAAGACTTAATATAGATGAAAGCTGCAGAACGAAGACACGTAATGTGAAAAATAGAATATATACAAATATTTGCATATCCAAAAGGTTAAATTGTTTCTTTTGCCCCTCAAATATGTGACAATAGTCAGTTTAATCCCATAAAATACTCAAGTCATAATAATGACGGGTGCACAGACTTCTTCCTTTTTTTTTCTCTGGCTGCAAATTGTGGCCAAAATACAATTTCTTTTCTGTCTATTTGAATGGCGTAAGCTGGGATCAGATCAAATTGACAATTTTTTGTGGCATACAAAATAAATTTACAACCACACACACAAAACAAAAGAAAATCTTGGGACCAAAACGAAACTGGCCCCAAACTAATGAGGATAAAAAAGAGCACTTTAGCCCTAAATGAACAAAAGAAGCTTCAAGATTTGCAAAGCCAGTCTTGGATGGCAAGTCGAAGTGCGTGGTTGGGAGTAAGAAACAGGTGATTCAATTTCAAATTAGTCATGGGAGAAGTGTCATGCCCATTTTCCAACCATTCACGTATGGCATCTCCTTCATAGGTAAATCCGTCTGCTGCAACTTGAGGATCATGCATTATTTCCTGAAGAAGGAATCCAAAGTTCAAGAGCAAAATAGAATAAATAACCATCTTTGTCTTTTAGCACTATAAAAGTTACCTGAACCATGTTATGTGAAGCTCTTTTATTTATAGAAAAGAAGTTACCTGAAGGATTGGACATAAGAAGAAAGACGGCACCGGTCGCTCTTCTGAAGCATGCATCTGCTCCAATTCTCTCACTAGTGTAGGTGTTAAATCTGGTCTGTCTCTACGATTTTGTTGACAGAATTGCAATCCCAGTTCGACCAAACGCGATGCCACAGGCGAGGGCCATTCTCCAGCTGAAGAATCAAGAATTGAAGACAATTTTCCACATGAAGCTGCATTGCGTACTAGAGCTGCTAATCCAACTGGAGTATTACCAGTGAGGAGTTGTAAAATGATGAGCCCAAAGGAGTAGATGTCAGACTTTGTTGTTAGTATTCCAGTTCTATGAAACTCTGGATCAGTATATGTGAAAGCACCCTTTGGTTCAGTGCTCAAACGGAAACTAGGACGGAGGAGAGACTCCTCACTTACCAGACTGCAGAATCCAAATCCGCATATCTTGCAACTAAGTGAAGAATCAAGTAGTACAGTTTCTGGCTTCAGATCACCATGGATAATAGTTTCGGGTTTAAAAGAATGTAGGAAGCAGAGAGCACTAGCGATTTCAGCAATCATTCGTGCTCGGGTATTCCATGTTAAAGGAGAATTGTTGCTTTTCCGGAATAGGTAGTCTTGAAGAGTTCCATTGGGGAGGTACTCATATACAATTGACCAGGCTTCAGGGCAAACACCAAGCAAAGTGATTAAATGAGGGTGCTGGAGACTACCAAGAACTTGAACCTGATCACAAAAAAGGATAACATCAGTGGAATCTAACAAACACAGGAAAAAGAAACGAGTGAGGGAAATAGAAAACAACTCCATTATTAGTGTTGTGAAAAAAAAGGTAGAATGTAAAATGCCTCAAAATTAAAGTTTCTAAATTCATTCCTCTGAAGCCATCTTTATATTTTAAGATAATAAACTGGCAGAAAAACCTTTATGGGGGGAACTAACCTCTTGACGAAACTCCATTGGTCCTTGCATATTATGTTGATGGAACCTTTTTATAGTAACAGTCCTACCCAACATTTCCCCCTTGTATATACAACCAAATCCACCTTGCACAATTTTAAAGCTGTTGGAAAAATTACATGTGGCATTTTGAAGATCTGATGATGAAAACTCCGCTAACTCAGGTAATTCTTCAGGAAAGCCAATGACCCCGTTGCAATGAGCTGCTCCAACTTGTCCTCGACTTCTCCACCGCTCAAGCCAACGTAGGGATTCCATTTTCTGTCTCCTTATCTGCTGCCTTTCTTGCCACAGGGTTGAGATGGATTCTTGAATTAGTGATAGTTCATCTGCAGCTTCATCACGTCTACGATTTGCTTCCTGAGCACGACTATCTAACAGCGCAATATTTCTCATGGTCATTTGAAGCTCGCTAGCAATTTCTTCACTCTCACTCAAGAGCTTTTGTTGTTCTTCTACCGTAGCTCTGAGTGCATCCTCAGCCTCTTTTCTAAGCTTTACTTCACGAACATGGGCAGAGTCAAACAAATTGACCTGTAAGATAGAATATAACTTTCGTAGGGAGCTTAAGAAATCAGTTAAACTATAGACTCACTATCCATTACAGTTCAAAATGGTTTGGAGATAGAAAGGATACAGCTAAATCATACAATATCCCGTCATAGAAATTTCCACACAATTTCACTTAAGCAAATATTAAAAATGTTGCTTCTTCTACAATTCTGGCCTGAAAATGTTAGGTTCAGAAAATTGTTTGCAGAATCTCAGTACTTTCAGGAGGGATTCTGTCTTGTTGTAATGCTTTTGTCAAAGTTTCTGAAAAACTTAAGGAAAAAAAATACTTAATTCCTCATTCACATGACTAGAAAGGAGCAATAAGGGCAAAAGCCAGAAGGTTATTGGCTTCAGAAATCTTCAATGATTTACAATCACTAGATTTTGCTTACCTTCCTGATGGCTTCCATGGCTTCAACTTCTAACCTCTCACACTTTAATAGCTCTGCAGAGGCTTCGTCTGCTACTGCCTCGGCTTCTCTCTTGGTTTCAATAAGTTGGTTGTTAATTTTTTCTTCCATGGCCTCTAAGTATGTATCTAAATGAGCCCGAGAAGAATTTTGAGAGGAACAATGACTGCTACAACTGGATGCTTTGGATGAAAAAGTGGCTCCAGTTTCAGAGATTCCAAAACCAGTGGCAGATCTTGCCGAATTTGGTTGAAGACACTCTGAGTCAAATAGTTCATTCTTACCATATTGAAAAGATCTACATCTCAAGCTTTCTGCGGTGGCAATCTCAGGTTGAGCGGACAAGGATGAAGAACATGGTGTTTCAGAAGCCTCTCTTGTCCAGATGACTTTTCCTTTATAGAGAAACCATACTTCACAGAAAGGAGGAGCATTTTTGGCAGTGTAATTTGCTTTACCAGAATTTCTTTTCACTTTCATGCAACTGCAATTTTCCACGATGATTTTGTAAGTGGAAAGATTTATTGATCCATTCGGTGAAAGAAATGGGACAAAAACGGACACTACAGAAGTAGATTGCAGCCTCCAAGTTATCAAAAGAAAATAAAACCAGTTGTGACGTTCTCAACTCTCTACAGAAACAATAGACACGAGGATACGAAATTCATGAGAGTCACAAGAATAAAATCAACTCTATCCAAACTACAGGGAAGACTAACTAGTAGCTTGGCAGTTCTATACAGAAGACATAATCATCCTTCTCTCCCTCCCTCCCTCCAACCCCAAAAAAAAAAAAAATGCAGGAAAAGAAAGAATAACAGACAATTGCAAAGAACACTGGCATAATAGACATTGAATGAATAACTTACTTTTCTGGCACTGCTCCAATGACAAGCTTCTGAATATTATGCTTAACGACCAAATCAACAATTCCCTTTTGGACTTGATCAACTTCTGTTACTATAACGCTTGCCTTAACCTGACGAGAAAATTTATATTAAAAGCACAGCTAAGAATAGATTTCTTACCATAAGTTACAACATAAATAAATTCAGTCATTAAAATGAAAATAAAAAGAAGAGGCTTGCCCTAGCTGTGCGGCAAACGGTCAAGTACTTGTCTAAAAGCTTCATGGTCTGTTCTCTCTCCACACATCGAAAAGCAGACACCACAGCAGGACTAGCCTGTGATGCAGGCAATTTCCCCACTACACAACAAAATTCAAAGAGACCCAGTAAGCGAAAAATGGGGGCAAAGTAGAAACCACCATAATTCACAACGAGAATTGAAAGAAACGAGCTTACACAGAGTGGGGATCGTGAGAGAAGGTTGATAAGCATGTAATATAACGATTTCAGCGTTCTGAAAGTGGTTAAAGGTCCATTGGAGCAAGGTAACAGCTTTATCAATCGATTTGCCAACAGCTACATGAACCTTGGGAGGCATGGGGAGGGGAAGCTGTGATTGAGATTGGGAAGAAGATGGGTGGCCGTGGAAGGGAAGGCACAAAATGGGTGCATGGTGAGGGTGCAGAGGTTTCAAAAGTTCCATTGGTGCAGTGCAGGAACTGAATTATTGGATGGTAGGAACAGAAATCGCATCATTTGCTGGATTGGGATGCGAATTGAATTGAATTGAAATGGAACCCCGTTAAACGTTTGACTTTTTAGTTGACTCCACGCCAATGGCGTGTGGAAATTGGAGTCATCTCGTTTTCCACTGCAGTGAAAAACCAAACCTTTTCATGTCCTTTCTTTCTTCATACATTAACATATTTCTAAATACCTGCAAATTAGAATGTTACTCTGAATCTCGTTTTGTTTGTCGTATTCGTGAGTACTAAGTAACACTAATGGTAGAAAAGATGAACCTGTCGGCGAGACCAATTCCATTGGGCAAAGTCACAACATTCTCTACAGATAACTGGAATTTATTAGTTAGTTAATACCCAGTCTTCAAAGATTTTGTTGTAATCATGGTGTTTTATATGTTTAATTTCACTCAACTACCATTTTTCTACTAAACTAAACATGTGACTTGCTTTTGACATACCACGCCCTTCAAAATGTCACTCAAAATGACATTTTATTATAAAAAAAAATTAAAAGCTAATATCCTTTAAAATAAATGATACTTTGATTTAGGTCAAACAATAGGCTTGTTGCTAACCTAATCCAAGGAAAATCCTAACCTTAACAGTTCAGAGATATGACTAATTACATATTTATAATTTATACACTCATTTCTAACATCGTCTTTTGTTTTTATATTTGTTGGATTCTCTTTATTACAGTTGTTTATGATGCCGCGTACAAATTATATGGAGATAGATAGATTTGGTTTGGATTACTATACTAAATTTTGGGGGTTTAGTACGGCGGTTTTACGTGTTTCATTATATAATTTTTATGAATATATAATATTGCATAAAATGACAGTTTTATTTATTTTTATCAGTGAATGAACTAAAATAAATTATAGAGAGATAATCAGTATCTACATTTTTATACATTATGACATACTTAGATAATCTCCAAATTTCTGCAAAACATACTACAATATTATGTAAAAATTTAAAATATAATCATTAAAACCAATCTATCTGTATTGTTTGCAATGCTCTTTTATTTTACTTTAACATTTTTCTTTTCTAAGATTAATAATGTAATGTAACGTTCAAATTATTAAGATGATTTTGTTTTTTCTCCTTTTAAACATTTTTCTGTAACTCATCAAGTTAAATAAATTAGATTTTAATCTGGTATATGAATAAAATAATAAATAACATAATACTATTCAAAAAAATTATTTTAGTTTGATTTAAATCAATTTAAACTGTCAAACCAAACCAAACCGTTTGATTGTCGAAAAAATTTCCAGTCAATCCTGAAATTTTGATTTTAACCTATTATCAACTTTTCTGATAATTTTTGGATTATTTTTTAGATAAATTCAGTTCTTAACAACCCACAATGTTGACTTTATCCTTTATATACTTTTGCACTTGCAATCATTTATATTTTTTAAAAATATTTAAAAATTTACATTTGTTTATAAAGTAATAGTGTTTAATAATTTATTTTTGTTACATGTGTTAAAGAAATTCGTTCATTTTCTTCAATAATTTTAAATCTTAAAAGAAGCAAAGATCTTAACTTTTGTCTTTAACTTAATTATCTTATCTTATTTCAATAACTCTTTTATTTTCTTAATTAGGCATGTAGTGCACAAGATAAAAACAATATTGAAATTTCTGAAGATATAACCTATGTTTGAATAAGAAGTTTCGTTTTTTTGTCTTTTTGAATCTGAGTATGTAAGTTTTCAACGGCAAATCAAATTCATATACATTGTCACGTTACAGTAAGTCTATAACCGAGGTAGGTGTTTTCGACTTACGAGATTTTATTCCTTCCTTGTTGAATTGTTTGTTCTTTGCTGTGTAAGACATTCAACTTTTTAAGTATTTAAAATGTTTAGAAATTTCAACATCTAGGAAAAGCATTCAAAGTAAAATACATACAGTGTAATATTCAAAATGTTGCCTCAGCAACCAAAAACACAAACACATGTTTCTACGCTATATCTTAACCAGCTCCAAATTCTTGGAGTGAAAATGAATTACTGCCACAACAACTGCTTATTCAAAATCTCAACTCCTCAGCCTATTGGGCAAGAGGCTTAATGTCATATAACCCAACCAAAAACCAGTTTGATTAGGATGTCCGAATTAACTTCAAACATACACAGAATTATAGGATCTGACTTAGGTTTAGATAGAAGAATATGATGATTTGGAGGAAGAAAAAAGTAATAAGCTGAAATGGTTTTGATATATCATTACAGATCAACTGTTCAACAATTAACAATGGTAAAACAAAACGAATGAAAGAATTAATTCTGCCATAAAACTCAACTTTATCTTAATTCGCTGTTCTAACAACACAAACATTTTTCAAGAAAATTCTTCAATCATTGCAAGGTGCTACTGTATTGCCAATCGAGGACACCAAGCCGTTCTGCTGCATTTAGAAGCATTTCCTGTGTACAATTGAAGGACCAGACTCATCGTACTCTGCCTTCGCAATCCACATCTGCATTTCCGAAAAACAAGTGTATTCTCATTATTAATCTTGATAAGCTGACCACATAAAAAACATTCTAGCGTGTGTGCGCAAATGCATGAGATGCTGCTTGCTATTAGTATTCATAGTAAGTTACACAAATCCCAATTGGCCTGTGAAACTCAACTGCTGTGAGAAGGAGGCAAAAGTCAAGCAACCAAGCTACCAAACTGAGAGACTTAGATCAGAGGATCAGAACTAAAACTAAAATAAAGACAATCAAACACTTGATGATGTCTCCGCCATGCAGTTGTAATAAAATGTTTGAGAAATCACAGTTTTGGGTTTATCATTTTTACAGCACAAATTGCTTTGGTCATTTGAATCACAGAATGTTTACCTGTTGGAAAGTGCTGAGAGAAGCCAAGATAGAGCCACCGATCCAGACACTGTACTTTCGCTCGGGTGGAGCAACCACCTTGATCTTCATGCTACTTGGGGCCAGGGCCGTGATTTCCTTGCTCATTCTGTCAGCAATACCGGGGAACATGGTAGAACCACCACTGAGGACAATGTTTCCGTACAAGTCCTTCCTGATATCAACATCGCACTTCATAATTGAATTGTATGAGGTTTCGTGAATGCCAACGGCTTCCATTCCAATCATGGATGGCTGGAAGAGGACTTCAGGACAACGGAAGCGCTCGGCACCAATGGTGATGACCTGTCCATCAGGCAGCTCATAGGTCTTCTCAACAGATGAACTAGTTTTTGAAGTTTCAAGCTCTTGTTCGTAATCAAGGGCAATATAAGCCAGTTTTTCCTTCATATCCCTTACAATTTCTCTCTCAGCTGTGGTGGTGAAGGAGTAGCCACGCTCAGTGAGGATCTTCATCAGGGCATCAGTGAGGTCACGCCCTGCTAAGTCAAGACGGAGGATGGCATGGGGGAGGGCATACCCTTCATAAATGGGTACGGTGTGGCTGACACCGTCTCCAGAGTCCAGAACAATACCTACACAAATTAATGTACCAACCAGCCAAGTTAGATGAACTCAATTGCTTCAAGGCAGATGAACTCAAGTTTTGAAATCGTTTTCAAGACTGATGCACCCTTTATGGGGTTAGGCATTGACAGCTGAATATATGACAGTTTCTAAAATAAGAAAAGTGAAAAGGTAATCAAACGGACCCTCCTTCTAGTTATTGTTTTTTCCACATTCAATTTTCTGGTCCATCTTTTTAAGGGAAATTTGAACCTTGCAGAGGATTGCCTGTTTTTTTTTTTCATTAGACAGCATAAGAAAGACTAACCAGTTGTACGGCCGCTGGCATAGAGGGACAGAACGGCCTGGATGGCAACATACATGGCAGGTGTGTTGAAGGTCTCAAACATGATTTGGGTCATTTTCTCACGATTTGCCTTTGGATTGAGAGGAGCTTCGGTGAGCAGAACAGGATGCTCCTCCGGGGCCACACGGAGTTCATTGTAGAAAGTGTGATGCCAGATCTTCTCCATGTCATCCCAGTTGTTCACTATACCATGCTCAATGGGATACTTCAGAGTCAGTATACCACGCTTGGACTGAGCCTCATCCCCAACATATGCATCCTTTTGCCCCATCCCAACCATCACACCAGTATGACGTGGCCGACCAACAATGCTGGGAAACACAGCCCTTGGAGCATCATCACCAGCAAATCCAGCCTGCATGTTCCAAATTGCAACGCAATGCAGTACAGTGCAAAACACTCACAGTAAATTACCACAAAAGAACATACTATATATCCAATCACTCCTACTTCCTTTTTTTTTTACCTTAACCATTCCTGTCCCATTGTCGCAGACGAGTGGCTGGATATCCTCACCGTCGGCCATTCTCTTTCAAAATCTGCACAAACCATCCATTTCCTCTCAAACAGTTCAAAGACAAGACCACTAGAAAAAAAATTAAACAATTTTAACTTAAGAAAAAAAAATACACAACAATCGATCACAGACTGATCACAGCCTGGTAATATCCATACAAATCAAAGAGTAAGTAATTAAACAGATTCATTTAGTTTCGGAAGAAAAGACATGATCACTTAAACAAAACAGTAATCTTATAAACTGTAAAAAAATCCTAGGTGATCAGATCAGAATCACAACTCATTTGCAACGTGAACATAACCTAAAGGTCAAGCAATGCATGAAAACGTTGGTTAAGAAAAGAAGGAAAAACGATTGGTAACAGAGTGTGAGATACCTGAAGGCGAAAACTGATGCACGGGATTGGACGCGCAAATCAAACGTCAAGTTTCAACGAGTTTGGGTTTTTAAATGAAAGTGTCCACTTCCACACGACATTGCCCAACAACGTCCGGTTCGGTGAACGACATTCATGTTGTTCTTCACGCGTGTCCCTTCCATCTGTGGCTCCGCACACACATTGCTTTTATTAGCTTGGCCCATTTTTAGCGCTTGTTCTTCTTCATCTTCTCCTCAATCCATTTGGGCCTAGTTTCGACCCACTGGGTCTTCTCATGCACATGTGGCTTTTGCAAAAACAAAAACAAAAAAAGGTACATCGGCATAGGCCAAAATATGATAAATGATGGAAGAAAGAAAATAAGAAGGCATTGGACATTGGTGTTTGGATGGGTAGCCACAGTCCACGTTGTCGCACAATCCAATTAATTCCGTGACGGACCAAGGACGACTCATTTCTACATATCTACATGCGTTGTCTAGTCCTCAC